ACATTTACATTTTAAAATTTTGCTTCCACTTTATACGATATTTCAGCTGCCTAAAATACTATAATAGAGACTCATTTTTCCCAGAATGTTTTTTCCTATGTCATAATTAGTCTCCCTACCAAATGTAGTGACATTTCAGCTGATAGATTAAGCTACAGATAGCTCTGAGTAGTATCAGTTCGAAAACAGACACCCTATATTCAGCATGTTTCGGTTAGTTAAAATTAGAAGTTCCTTGTCTATGTATATTTTTATTTTGAGTATTGAAGAACAAATGTATTGAGATTTTGTTAATCCTTTCATCTATGATGACCATAGGGGTGAAGAATTTCTCTTTTCAATAACTTCCTATTCATTAATGAAGTTTAATGATTTTCCTCTTTTCCTTTTCATCTTCTTTCCTTTGTGTCTCTATATGTGACAAATGCAGCAAACTATCCTATTTATGACAGAATTTTTACTTGAAATAAATTTCTTTTAATTGTCTTTGTAAATAATCTTATGTACAGTGGTGGCCAAAATTGTGGACACGTTTGGAAATTTTTATGTTTTTGAACTTTGTATGCATATAGAAAACGTTACGTTTCACAAAATGCAAGCGTGTATGTATCATTTAAAGAGAATTATTACTGAATCAATACAAAACACAAATTCATTATTTGCAATACAAAAATTAAACATAATATTATCGATATACATTAGATAGTGATGATTGCAGTGAGTTATCAGTATTTAGTAGGGTATCCTTTATTTTTGATACGCTTCAACATCGTTTCATGAGCTGAAAGAGTTTTTAAGCTCTTCTTTCGTTATTACATGATGCCAGGAACGATTATAGCCTCATTAGTTCCCTTTTATTTGATGGGCCCTCATTTGACAAGAGTTTTCAAACGGTGCCACAAATTTCGATAGGATGAGGTCAGGACTGTTCATGGCCATGACAACAATTTAATGCTCTTTGTACGAAACCGCCTTTCGATATTTTGGCCGTGTGGCAAGGAGCAGAATCCTGCTGAAAAAAACGAAGGCATTGTTGGGAAAGAGATCTCTGATGGAAGGTAGAAGTTTTGGTTCTAGAATAGTGTCAATGTATTCTGGCATTCAGTGTCCCATCGATGACATGAAGGCAACCAATACCATCTGCTGACATGCATGACCAAATCATAACACTAACTGGGTTCTTCGCAGTTGCTTGAATGCAGTCAGGATGTAGCTCTTCTCCTATTCTACGTCTTACATATTTTCGTCCATCACTACCGAATAACGATATCTTAGTTTATCACTCCATATAACTTGTGACCACTGATCATCTGTCCAATTAATGTGTTCCTTTGCCCACTGTAGTCTTTTTTTAGTCCAAAGGGATTTGAATCCCGAAGGACTATTAGTTTCGTTTTGACATTTTGCGTCGGACTCATAAATGTCGGTTTCACTTTTCAAACTGTTGCCACAAAATGTTAAGAGTCCTGCATTATATTTGAAGAAAATTAAATAATGAAAAATCTGCGTAAATGTATGTATATTTCTCGTATTGTGATAAAACAACGGTACATAGAGTCATCGAATTTTGAATAACGTAAATCCTCCAACGAATATGAGCATGTGGAAGCAAAATTTGAAATTTGATATTTGTTTTATGATCGATTTCCTATTTTTTAAAACTTTGACGAATTTTTAATTAACAAACTTAAGGATTTCAAAGCGAGCAATGGCAACGTTGTGCAGAAAAACATTTTTATCTCCAGCGCGTGAGTCTCTGTATCGGAAATTCTAAAGATATGCTCGTTTTAAAACTATTTTGGGATATTGCTGTTGCACTGGATCTTATGGTTTAAGTGCGAGGAACATGATATTTAATAAAGAAAGTAACATACAAAATGTTAAAAAACGCCCCTTTGGACGTAATTTAAAATCTGAAACATTCAGTTTTTTTTTTTTTTTTTTTCGTTGCTGGAAAATTAAGATAAGGCTTTTTCGTGGAATTCTACTCTCGTCCAACATCTGTTAATCTTCTCCTGATTTTCTTGAAGACAGAAAACACCAGTATCATTCAGATCACTTCTGAGGCCGCTGATGACTTTTTTCTATCGGAGACATAGTCTTTTTACTCTTCTGTCATGAATAGATGTAGTGACCTTTTGAGCCTTTCCTTTGTTTTTATTGAATGTCTCCGAATCGTAAACAAACTTTCGGACCCCAGATTAGTCACTGAACACCACCTGTCTTCCATTTATATTAAAGACCACTTCTTGTAAACATAAGATACATCTCTTCTAGGTGTCCAATTACTCTTTATTGATGTCATGCTTCTTGATAAATTAAAATTTTTTACAAAAATCTACTGTGATTCAGTGTACAAAGAAACAGGTCCTCCTTCTACCGATAAGCAAAGTAATGAATTGTTTCAAGTGACCATGATGTAACTTCTACTGGCAGTTACCTTGATGGTTCTCAAAACACGAACAGTGATGGCAAAAGCTAAACATTACAACCACTCATAACTGTGTTTTTTATTATATTAAATACATCTAGCTTTTTTGTATTGCAAATAATTGATTTGTTTTGTATTAATTCAGTAATAATTTCTTAAAATGATATATACAATTTGCATTTTGCGAAACGAAGCATTTCTATAAGCATAGTTCAAAAACATAAAAATTTCCAAAAGTGTCCACAATTTTGGCCACCACTGTATTTTCCAAGATTAAGCAACCTTTTGAATTCTGTACTTCTTATTGAATAATTGGTATTTTTAATAATATAATAATTGGTGTTTTTTAGAAAATCCTCCAGTTGGTAGTTTCAGGATTCCTCACAAAGTAATTTTACTGGAAGACCTGGATTTAACATGTGTTGCAGATAGAGAAAATGGTAGGATTCAATGTTTCACTATGGTTTCAGGACGTTACCGTTTCCAGATTCAGGGCGAAGAATTTGGTGGAACTCTGTACTCAATTGCTTATGCACAAAATAAAGGTAAATATTAATGCTCCCTGTTTTGTATGGTTTTGGGGGGGGCTATGAATTCTTAACTACAAAATATGTTAACCTTTTGAGGTAAAGAATTGTGTTAGGTAGTAATTTTATGAATAATTACAAAATAACTTGGTTATATAAATTTTGAAATTTCATATTACCGTAATTTCCGTAAGAAACGCCGCGGCGTTTAGGTCATAAAAAATATTTCCTACGATGTCATGTCATAGTTTGGATGGCTGTCATTGTGCATAGATGTGCTATTCCCACCAAAACCACTCAGTTGCTTTTGGAGCGTTATTTTGTTACATTCTTTCCCTTGAACAGACTACAGCCTTATTCACCCAAACGAGATATAGAACAATAGCATTCTTCCCCCTTTCAAATCAACATTCTCATCTTTGAAAGTCTCTCTCCTCTGTCATTCGATGAATCTTCAGGACCATCCTCTCCCCACCCCTGCCTTTTCTCAATTTTTTAAAGGGGGATACGACTCCACTGCCTCCCAATAAGGAACTCGACCGACGTATTTCCCCTTCAGCTGAATGGATTTTTCTTGGCATTCTGCAAATGCAGATCCCATCAGTTTGGTACAAGTACTTGTTGGATGTTTTTAGAAGGGCGGAAAATTTTGAAAAGTCTTAAAACGAAGAAGCTATACCTTTTTACCTTAATTTATTTTGAGTATGGTTTCATTCATGCATTCAACTGGTTGTCATATATCAGGACTAGGTTGGTTTTTGCATTATACGACCCACGACGAGCACGCGCAATTTAATCTATGAGGAGTTTACGCTGATGCAGCGTTTCGTGTAATTTTAATTTTTTTCCCGCCATTTTCTCGATGCGGCGTTTACGCTGTGCGGGCTTTCTTCCGGAATACGGTAACTAATTTCAGGGATCTCAAATTTGCGCTCAAGAACCTCTACATTTTAGAAAATTAAAGCATGCAAATCTATCAATATAGGTGTACATTTATGGAATGTGAAAAGAAATTATTTTATGATTTGATTTACAAACCACATTACCTCATATTATTTTGATACTAATAAAATTGAAACAAAAATATTATTATTATTATAGACTCTAAAAAAACAATATTTTGACTTAACTCTAAAAAACAATAATGGAGGATTTTGGGAGCCACAGAACTCTGTTTGAAAACCATTGATTATTTTAACCCTTAACTGCCCCAGAAACATACAGATCAGTTTTCACACAGGCACGTGAGTTATGCGATGTATTAGGGGGAAAATAAGTGCGTTTTACTTCAAAACTGTTTACTTTCACAAAATAAAAAAATGAATGCACAAAATTTAAGTTTGAGTAAAGTAAATAAAATGATTTTAACTAAATCGATCCTAATTGGAGTTTCTATCAATTCATTTTAGACCAGTCAAAGTGTAATATCAGGTTCAGGTTATTTGTGAAATTAGTCTGCTTAAAACATATATTTCTTGACTGGTTGAAAAATGCCATGATTTTGTTCTGCTTTTTGTTAAGGTTGGGGTTCTTACTCATCTATAAAACTGTTAGTTTTTACATATGAAGCACAGAGTTCATCAAAATAATTCAAAAAAGATAATGGTTTGAACACTGTTATTCGTTTTATTCCTGGAATTTACTACAAAAAGTAACGAAAACGGAGGGCATAAATAAAAAAAAAACACATACGGTTTGACCTCAAACACACATCCAATCAATGCAGCATTACTTCACGCTTTAGACACACCCCTCTTCCCCACACTCTCTGAAAAGTATCTCCTCGCATCTTCGACAAGGTTATGTGGTGTTGCATTCCAAAGCTTTGAGAATAATTTTATGGGTAACAGTGCAAAGCAAATGATAGTATTTTGGAAGGGCATATATATACGCCCGTGGCAGTTAACGCATCGGCTGAGCAAGGCGTATATATCCGCCAGCGACAGTTAAGGGGTGAATATTGGAAGAATTAAATTAACATTTGTGAAAATATGCTATTTCGGTCAAATCATTTTTACTTAAAATCACATTCTGAAATGCACTCATGCTAAAAAAATAAGCAACAAATGCTAAATGAAAAGGTACAAATGTAAAAAGGGGAATTAAAATGTGTACATATGAGGTACCAGTTTACATATGAGGTAGAGGTTGCATTGCTGAATGCAAACAGGCAACCAAAGTTAGCATAGTGAGTGAACCATTCCATAACATAGAGTGAAACCATTTTGCATCTGCCGTGGCCTGCTAGATCACCAGACCTAAATCCCATAGAGAATGTGTGGGACATGTTGGGATGATGGATAGCAAATAGCAGTGTGCCACCAGCAACCCTCCATGACCTCTGACAAGCATTACTACAGGAATGAGTGCTACTGCCACAACAAGCGATCAACGACTTTATTGCCAGCTTGTTTCGCCATTGTCCAAGCACGTAATTCATGTAGAGGCTATTGTACCCATTATTAGCATGATGTTTCCACTGCACATTCTTATAACTTATTTGGTGTTTTGTAATGTGGTGATCATAATGTATGTGTTTTTGTATGTCTTTATTTTTTTAGCAGGAGTGTAAATAATAAAGAAAAATTTTACTAACTCAAAATAAAATTTTTAAATCCAAAGATGAACATTATACAAGAGATTTTTAAAAAATGATTTTGAATATACAAATTCATATTTCCGAAAAGTAACAAATTACAAAACAACAAAAGATATATCAGAAGAGCTTGAAGTTGTTAAGATAAGTGCATATGCAAATATCAACTACTGAGTGTTCATAAAAAAACTTCCCTAATATATAAAGCCCATCGGGCCTATCTGCTCAACCAGTCAAAATGGAACTTGAGCTGTTGTTATTTAAAGGTATGCATTCAAGATTATGATGATTTAAAACAATAGAGCTCTCACAGTTATGGTGAAAGTGAATATATTTTGAAATTTTCGAATGGCAATACCCATGTTTTTCCTATGGAAATTCATCAGCACCCTGGAAAACCATAAATGGCGATGGAGTAATACACATATGATGAAAATTGCTGGCATAAATCATCTAAAAAGAAGAGCATTGTAAATGACCAGTGACAACACAAAAGAGGAGAGGGGAAAAAAACTTTTATTGCAATTACAAATTTTCAACGTGCTCATTTTTATTGATGATAATGCATTAGCTGTGGGATGTTGTTGACAAAAAGGACAAACTAAACATTGCAGAAGGAATCTGTATAACTCATGCTTTGTGGTATCTTTCAATTGACAAATTTCATAGGTTTGATGTACACATAAATTTCAGATAACCCAGAACTAGGAATACATTGGAGCAAGCTCTGAATCTTCGTGGTCAAGAGACTGCAAAATTACAGGAGATGCAACTATCTCCAACGTGCTGTTCCAATACAGAGGCTGTGCGTACATTTTTTAGATGACTCTGTTTTTTAAAGTGTAAATTATGGTCTGCTATTTGACAATTTTGATTTAATGCAAAATGACACTTTCAAAGAGGCAGTGGATAAAAGGCTACGTTTTTGCTCTTTCTGAAAAAAATTATTCATATTTATTATTTAAAAATGCTGTAAAAGCCATAATTTTTCGGTATTTAAAGCAATGATAGATGACATTACCAATAAAAAAGGAAAGACATCAAAGTTCGGCTTCAAGAAGAAAAATTGTTCAAGATACATATCTAAGAATAAAACAAAATATTTTGAATGTTGCAAAGGTAAAAAATATAAATGTTAACAGAAAATCCTCGAAGTCGAAGCACAGTTGCATAATCATTAAAATGCTCAGTATCAACTGTAAACAAAGTGATTAATGCTGATTTGAATCTTAAAAAGGTGAAAAAAACGTAATATGCATAGTCTTTCTCCATGACATATCACCGAAAGCAAAACGCATTGCAGAATTCTCTGTGAGAAATAATTATTCAGGCAAAAATGCAAAAATGTTGCTGCAATAGATGAATCTTGGGTATATTTAAATGACCGCAATAAAAAGAGATTCACTTATTATCGTCAAAGAGAAGAAAAAATCTTAGAACATCGTTCAAAGAATTTAAAGAAAGTCTTTCAAAGGGATTTATGATTGTTGCTGGTTTTTGACATAACAAATAAAAATCAAAGAGAGTTTAGAAAACTGTTAAGGTCAACTCCCCATATTAACAGGAACATATTTTATACTCGCTTTTTAAATGTAAAATAAGTTCTCTCTACCCACAGTGCCCATTAATCAGTAGAACTGCATCATACACTCAAGATTCATCTGTTGTGACAACATTTTTCTATTTTTCTCCGAATAAATGTTTCTCATAAAGAATTCTGCAGTTTGTTCTGTGTTTGGGCGATATGTCATGGAGAAAGACTATGCATATTATGTTTTTTCACTCTTTTAAGATTCAAATGAGCCTTAATCACTTTGTTTACAGTTGACGCTGAGCATTTTAATGATTTTGCAACTGTTCCTTGGCATGCCAGATTTTTTTTATCATTAAAGATCTTACCTTTGCAACATTCAAAACATTCCTTTTTTCCCTTTTGATGTGTATTTTTAACAATTTTTCAGCTTGAAACTTTTTTTTTTTTTTTTTTTTTTTTTTTTTGCCAATATTACCTATCATAGCTGTAGATAACGAAAATCCATGGAATAGCTACATAGGAATATTTTTCTTCGGAAAGAGCACAAACATAGCCATCCATCCATTGCTTCTTTAAAAGCACCATTTTACTCGCATACAAAACTGTCAAGTAGCAGACAATAATTTTTAGTTTCAAAAAATAAAGTTGCTGTTAAATTTCTTTTTTTCCCCCAAGCCGAATTTTTTTTATAGCAAAGCAAAATCGTCTAAAAAGTGTTGAACAGCTTCTGTAAATGTATAAATTTACAAATTTATGTACATATAGGATCATTGCCTTCCCCATACTATAATATATAGCCATAGTAAGGGGTTAGCCTGTCATAATGAATGACGTAAGGCTTCGAATTTAATGACTTATTATCCAAACTACAACATCATTCGGCCTATTTTGGACTGTGTAAGAACCATCCCAGGATGTCTGTAGTTTAGGAGAAAGTCCTTTCCGTCAAATCAGATTCCAGAAAGCTATGATTTGGTGCATGGATTTAAGTCTTTTATCTCTGATTCTGAGCAGAGTTTTTGTGCATGGATTTAAATCTTCATCTCTGATTCCGAACAGAGTTATGTTCTCAGAGGCTGAAGACAGTTTTTTTTTTTTTTTTTTTTTTTTTTTTTTTTCCCCAAGTTCAAGGAAAAACTGTATTTCCTTAAAACGTAATCTGAGTATGGAAAGCTCAATAATATCTGCCACATATGCCATGTGATGGTAGGCAACAATTTCAAACGTTATGTTAACATATAACTTTCCATCAATGTCAATCTTATTACCGGACACCCTCCAACATAGAGTGGCATCCAGATGAGTTTACCTTCTAACTGTTGAGCCAAATCTTTTTAAATTAGGGTAAAATTGGCTCCAGCATCAGTAGTCGTATTGCAATGAATTCCATTTATATGTCCGATGACGAAACGTCCATTACTGACACCATTCATTACAGATCTCTGAAATGATTTAAAATGGGGCTTCTTGATATCTGGCAACCTCTGCCCCATGCCATAGCCTCTAATTACTTTTCCTCCTCTTTGTTGGGAGTGGTCTTAGCTCTCATTTCTTGGACTGTTTTATTCTGTCTTGGAAATACATGGTTCCAGCTCTTTAGGATTGGTTGGTCACCTCTCATATTCTGCTTTAAGGCATTCAATTGCCTGTTTAAATTGTCTAGATGAGCAGTCGCTTGATCCACTGGCTCCTGGTCATGAACATCTGCAACTGGGTGACGGTCTCTGCAAGTTGCTTACTGGTCTGCTTTGAATTTCATGGCATACTTTAAAGTAATCTTTAGATCCTTGACATCTGCCATTTGTAGGGCTTTCTGTATCTCAGGATTCTAGGATGCCATTGATGAAGTACTGCAGGGACAGGATTTTCCTTGTTTCTGTTAGGCAATCCAGAAAAGCAGAATGAGTTAGCTTTTCAACATCCGTGGTGAGCTCATAAAGTCTTTCCATGGGCTTTTGTTGATGAGATTTTAATTTAATCCTGCTATAGTCTCTTAAACAATAACACTTCTCCTCCAAAGTGCAGCTGCAGTGTGCCAGATAGAGCTTCAAGGTCTAGCCTCTGGTTTGGGGAGACAAAGTTTGAGGAATATCCACTGCGTCTGCTCTCAGATAAGTGGCAAGATGGCCTGCCTTAATTTCAAAATCAACAGCCATTTGTGTTTGCCCCTATAGAGAAGTGAGTGTTATACACTTATCATGAGGTCTTTCCATCATACTTGAATAGCTTTAGACAATTGGAAAGACATAGGTACAAATTTAAAGGCATCAGAATTGTGTTTAGCTGTCACTATAGACTTCTTCAAGCCATCAACTTCCTTTGCAACAGAAGCAGAATTGTTGATTTGTTTTTGACATTAGATACTCTTTCTTCAGCTTCTCCAGTTTTACTTTCATGCATGTCTATTCTGCCTTCTATAGTTTCAAACTTGTTTTTTATTATGGCAGTAAGTTTTCTTTTCATTTCTTCTTGACCTTCAATCTTTTCTTGACCAACTTCCATCTTTTTTTTTAAACTGATTGGATGGCCCTTACCATCTTTTCTTGCTATGGTCGAGGCTGCCAAGGAATTTCCACTACCTTCTATTTCTCAAAATTACTGGAAGGCATATAAGATTAAAGTTACATCTAAGGGCTGAAATATAGTTACACTTACATATAGGCATCAACTGCAGTATCAATAATTATGCTGGGACTAGACTGAAATGTCACCAAGTTTGGCAATATCTCTCTAAATTTGACCACAAAAATTAGTCTCCCAAACCAGTGTCACCTTGGGGACATCTTGCCAGTTTCGTAAGCAAATACGTTATCACGGCACCTTAATGTTAAATAGACTTGCCTCTGTAACCTTATTTTTACAGAGGAGTTGCACTTTCTTCAGATTTTTCATGTTACATTATACAAAATTAAGAAACAATATTTTAAAGTGTTTAGGGGAGCCTACTGTGATATTGAAGGTCCTGTGTTCGAATCCCAGAGAAGGCATGGATGTTTGTAAATATGTAGCTTCTTTGCGGCATGGGACCACTGTAAATGTATGAAAAGCCAAAAATCCTTTGTGTGGTTTAGTGGTAGGGAAGAGGGGTGGGAGACCCTCAGACCAAAATTGGGTGAAAAATAGAAGTCTTAACTTGGTTGAGGCCCTGGCAACCATTCTTCCATGAATTACATGGACAAGAGAACAGCAGCATATATTAACAAGTGACAAAAAATTTCGTGACTAGACTATGACTGTTCTGATGTCAGGAAGCCCACCAGCAGCCGAGTGGTAAAGTCGCTGAACACTGGTAGTTTAGTCCGAGGTTCGAGTCCTGCGAACGGGGTGGCTGCATGGGTCTTTTTGTTGTTTTCCCCATGTGTAACGTGTATACGAGCCAGTTTCCAATAGAAAGTCCTCCACGAAGGCATCCCTCTCCTTAGACAGATAGCCCTCGAGGCTTTGCCGTAATTAAACCTAACCTGATGTCAGGGGGTTAAATTATTAAAATCTTGATAAAGATTGATCTCTAAGATTAGCTGTTAATTTCAGATATACTGTTTTTCAGTATAAAAGATATTTATCTATTTTATTAAAATATATATTTGATTTCCATTTTTTTAATAAATTTTGTATTTTACTTTTAGCACTTCATATGCAAACAATATAAAGATACACTATATCTCGGGCATCATTAATCTGAAATTATTTTGTCTTTCTTAGTTGTTGTTAGTTAGTTCTTTCTTAGTTGTCGGTAGTTTCTTTGTTGTTTGAGAGGCTTTTAGCAGAAGAGACCTGAGACTTTTGAATTCCATCTTTTGAGAGAACTTTAAATAAAAAACTGAGATGGAGATGGACAGTAATAGCATTGTTCATACTAAGGCATATACCAAATAACAAGCGTACTTTTTCAGCCAAACTATTCATAAAACATGTATACTTCGAGCATTATTTTTAATAGTTTTTATATTATTTTTAATAATTATTTGTTTGATTAATGAATATGTATCTTTCTTTAAGGGCTGCTTTTTGCAGTTTGTGGTGAGAGTATTTATAAAGATCACTTAGTTCGAGCATTTGTATTTAATATAACTGACCAGAAGCTGCTGAATGTCTTTGCACCCAGAACTGGAGTATGTTTTTGTCATCATTATATTATTATTGTTACTATTATCATAAATAATTTAAAATTCTTTCTTAATTCATTTATAATAGCTCACTTTTTCAGCTTGAACAAATATTGGTTATTTTTTTAGCTAATGTTTTTTAAATTAAGAAAAATTTAATAATTTAAATTCTAAAGTGAATATAAAATGTAAAACTCTTTGTTCTTGTTCTTAATTATTATAAATTTCTTTTAGTTTTTTTTTTTTTTTTTTTTTTTTTTTTTTTTTTTAAATTTATAGAAATAAACTGTTGCCATTAGCTGTTTCCCTGTTTAGCTGTTTCCAAATATAAATTTAATTATAATTTACAGTTTTATGAAAATCCAATATCTCTGTCTGTTAAATACATTATCACATCATGAAAATAATTAAGATCATAATTTGAAATAGTAGAAAGAGCTAAGTAGAAAGTGCAGTTTTACTAGAAATACTGCTTCAGTCTTGATGTAGTAGCTAAGCTTCTGCTAACATCTCCTAGTGGGATAATAAGTTCCAGATCACAATGTTAAATGATAGGAAAGGATTTGGTGTAGTTTCAGGAAATAATAGAGGAAGTCAGTAACTGCATGCTTTTCAGAGAGAAAATTTAGTAAATTAAAAATCCCATATACACAGGGAGTGTGAGCACGCGACAACTGCAGAGCTGAAAATATATAACTACAATAAAAATTAGCTGACAGTGGAACATAGATACTTATAGATTTTTTTTTTTTTCATTCAGTACATTAAAATCTTCAAATTCCAGTAGACAGCTATATATAAGGGCTGAAAAAAATAGTGGCAACATGTTGACAGTTCTTGAAAGATTTTATTACCATAGGTACAAATACTTAGAATCCTCCAATGTAATCACTCACCTGCCATATGCAAGTTGTTAGCTGTATGTCATAAAATCGTGCTCCACATTCTGCATGAGAGTTTGGATAGTGCAAAATTGCAGTATGATGGATATCTCATGCACTAGTTGAGGCAATATGGCAATGTTACATGCTGTCACAAAACTTTTTGAAATTGTGGCAGAAGGAAGGTGATGATTTCATTGAATATATCATTGCAGTGTTCAGAATATGCATACATGGAATATTAACCAGTTTTGTTTATGCCAATTCATTAAAAGTGTAATAAATTGTCTTTTGATAATCACTTCTGAAAGTGGTCACTATTTCTGAAAACATAATTAGAGAACAATATTGAACGTCACTGGTAATTATTTTTTTTAAAACAGCTATCTCCACAAAAGACCAGCTGTGTCTTCATATTTCAATCATATTTCCAAGAGAATATGAGACAATTGAATGAAATATCTAAGTCTAAAAAGATAATTTGAAGAAGGAAACTTTTTACAATTTGAGATACTATAAAACATTGCATAGATTGTAAATGATTGTAAATAAATTAATGGCAACATTGTTGGGAGGAGATCGTATATACAATACAAAGTCTGAGGTCCAAACTCATAAGGACTTTCTGGATTTTAGATCATTGGTTTAAATCTAGTAAGATGGCATGTAAAAATTATAAAATTACAAATGTGAAATAGTTGTTTATGATGCAGTGAAGCATTTACAGGCTTTATCAAAATTTATAAAAAATAAATAAGTAAATAAAGCTCAATATTTATTTATTTGCTTTTGTTTGGGACTCATCCCAAATAACACACACTATAATAAGGATGTTGGTTTGGTTCTTTATTAATTCTCATAATTAAATTACAATCACTCATTATTAACTCATAGCTGTGACCAGCCCTAGTACACCGTCGATTGCAATTCTCAAACTCGTCTGATCATAACATTACAGATGCGCAGATTACATTACAGGTACGCAGATGCGAACATGCCGCCCCGCGTTGCAATGCGTAGCATTCAACTATTGTAATTAAGATAAAGTATAAAAAAATTTAAACAAGTATTATAAACAATTTTGAATAAGTACTATTACATAAAATCATTATTATAATCAGACATTTACCATATACATCAGCATATAACTCAAAACAATGCAATATAATATTTCAGTTACATAATGACATTTTATGTGAAGCACATTCAATACTACACAATAACGATAAAGACGATACTCATTTTTGTATTGGTAAGACACATAATTTGGTAATTGGTCGTTTGAAAGTTCCAGTTTGAGTTTTTACATCGCACACGTGAACCTTTCCATCTTTACAATAAAATACTTCTATTATATGACCAACTGCCTAATTACAACAAGGCAAATTATCTTTAATTAAGACCATGTCTCCAACTTGTATATTGTTTTTAGAGCTTTGCCATTTAGATCGATTTTGTAAATGACTTCAATAATTGGAGTTCCATTTTTTTCCAGATAATTTGTACTAATCTTGTGATCTGTTGCTACAATTTTAATCTGTTAATGTTAACTTCGGTGATATCTGGCTCAGGAATCGAATTAATTGCTCTACCAATTAAAAAATGCCCATTTGTTAGAACCTCTAAATCATCAATGGTTGGGAATTTAAAATTCCTTCAATCTGAATCATAACTGTTAAAAACTGTTCAAAGATCAATTTTGCATTACCTATGACATGTTTAAAGTGGTATTTAAAAGATTTAACTTCAGCCTCCAAAATTGGGTGCTCTGGGAGGGAGAAATTTCCATTCGATATTCTCAGAAATCAAATAACCAACTAAAAGCTCATCTTGTTCGTTCACTACTTTATTTAACCTCTTTAATTCTGCATTTGCACCTACAAAATTAGTAGCATTATCACTAAATAGTGGTGAACTTTTACCTCTTCGTGCAAAGAAACGTTTTAAGGTAGCTATTAATGCTTCAGATGTTAAATCTGTTATCAGTTCTAAATGAATACCCATAGTAACCATACAAATGAATATACACACATAAACTTTCTGATATATACCTTTTCTCTGGTTTTTGTACTTAATTAAGAATGAGCCACAGAGATCAACTCCAATACAATTAAATGTAAGATTAGCTGTTATTCTTTCCTTGGGTAAATCACCCATGATTTACTGAGCTACAATAGGTTTAGCTTTAAAACATGTTACAATTTTTTACAATTTTTCTACAAACATTTCTACCATTTACAATCCAAAATTTTTGTCTTATATGATATAACAAAGATTGAGTACCCACATGTAAATATTTTAAATGATAGTAATTAACTGATATGAGACTCTAACTCTAGATATGAGATCTGGTGGGTTTTCTTCTGAAGCTATATGATGCCACTGTGCAATTTCAGTCAGATCTTGTACCTTTGAAATCCGGTTTTCAACAAATGTCTTGAGCAGATGTGGCTCTTTCTTGATCCGTGACAGCACAATCATAGAATCGGTCCAAAGGTGAATAGCAGCAAGCTCCAATTTTAACGATGATTTCACTCGATGCAGAAGTTTAGCTAATAGCACTGCTACGCAAAGCTCAAGTCTTGGGATTGTAGTCTTCTTTAAGGGGGGAGACATGTGATTTACTGCACACCAACCTCACCTGATGTATGGCTTGTTGCTAATGTGGCTTTACAGTAGATGACTGCTCCATAGGCGGCCTTTGAGGCATCAGAGGAACCATGTAACTCAATCTTGATTGTATCTGGTAATAAAATACATCTATGGACTACAATGTTGTTAATTAACTGCAAGGTAGTGATTATCAAGGTTCCATTCTTCAGCCTCTTTTTTGGCAGAACATCATTCCAGTTCACTTTTAATAGCCATAATAGCCATAATTTCTGCATAAATATTTTTGCTATAATTACAACTGGGAAAACTATACCCAATGGGTCAAAGATGCGATATATGAGAGATAATACTTGCCGTTTTGTAATCTTTATGTTGTCTTCGATTTTAACCTTAAAGCTCAAACAATCTTTTTTTGACTTCCATAAAATACCCAATGCTTTAGATTCCTCTGATTTATCAAAGGGATATATTTTGCCATTTGTTTGACACAATTCAGTAGCATTACTACACATCTTAAGGAGTAACATACCTCCACTCTTCAAAATGCATATTAACTGATTTTGAAGTTCTACTGCAGAACTTCGACTTAACCCCAGATAGAATATTGTCCATGTACACGTCTTCTCTCAGTACAGGTGCTGCTAAAAGGAAATTTATCTCCTTCATACTTTCACAGCTGTACAAGTGTCCTCATTGCTAAAAATAGTGCACTCACAGTACCATAGGTAACGGTGGTTAGCTTAAAGTTTTTAACTGGCTTATCAATGCCTTCTTTCCATAAAATCCTTTGTAACTTCCACTGATTTGGATGGATATAAATAGCTCGATACATCTTTTGTATATCTGCAGTGAAAACAAAAATATATTTTCCTGAATCTCAGCATAATTGAGAATAAATCATCTTGTATTACATCTCCATCATACTGTATAGAATTTAGAGAGTTTCCTTTGGTTGTCAAAGAAGAAACGTTAAACACTACCCTCAAGGGAGTCTACTTACTTTTCTCTTCTCCCCTATATACTCCAATATGAGGAATGTAATATGATCCTTGTTTCTCCTCGCTTTCACTCAGCTCAACCATATGTCTTAACTGTTGATATTCTTTTAAAAAATCTGAATATAATTTTAAATATTCGGGATTCTTTACTAAGCGTTTCCATAAGGAATTTAATTTACTCATTGCAATTTGTTTAGAACTTCCTAAAGTGTCCGGATCCTCCTTTAATGGCATTTTAACAACGTACCTACTGGTTTTATCTCGTGTATAATTTTCTACAAAATGTTTCTCACAAATTAAAGATTCTTTGTTTTGGGGTTTATCAGTTTCAATATTCTCTAATTCCCAAAATCTTCTAAGAGTTTTATCTAAGTTGTCTTCTTTTATCAACCCACAATGAACCCTGTTTTCAGTCTCTGTTGGAATACTTCCAAATACAATAAAACCAAAAACTGTATCTTGAAAAATAAGATCAGGATTATTCATTCGAGTTTGACTCGATTTCAAAAGTTCATGAAAAACTCCTGCTCCCAACAGCATATCTACCCTTTCTGGAACATTAAATTGTACATCTGCTAATTTTAAATTAGGAAGATCTTGCACTGAAATTTTAATTTTGCACAAAGGTGTTAAATCAACAGTTATTTTTGGAATTACTAAAAAGTCCAAATTCTTTATAAAAGCTCCTTATTTATTGCATATCAAAGCATTAATTTTATGCTTATTGTCAAAGTAGCATCATTTATTCCCGAAACTGAAATGTTTGTTTTTTCTTTCTCTAACTGCAAATGGTCAATAAAATTACCTGTCAAAAAATTTGACATACTACTGCCATCCAGCAGACACTTCACTCTGTGTTTTCTTCCCTGGTCATTAATTAAAAAACATAGGATGGTTGTAAGCAAAACTGTATTCTATTTATTCGAATAGTTGTTAATAAATGCAACGAACTCACTCCTGCACATTAACATTCAAGGTCGATGAGTCATCTCGTTTGGGAATGTTGCAGTCACATACATTTGTTTTGTTTTTATTTTGTTCCAATGAAGAACATTTTCTCCTTTATGATATTTGCTTTCGAAAAATGAATAGTTTTGTGGTGTCGTTTTTGACAAAAACAAGAATATTTCGATGGACAATTTGATACTGAATGCATATGTAGCAGTTAAACCATAATTTGTTAGATTTCACAACCTGCACTCTTTCTTGTACGGGTAATTTTAAATACGATGGGCATTTTGCCAAACTGTGATTCCCATGGCATAAAATACAGTTCTCTGTTTTAACATCTGACAAAAACACTTTAGCTACACTTTTTGAGCTGTTATACTTACGATTAACATGATAATTCTCAGTAAGAGGTTTTCCTCGTGACATGAAATATAAATCTATTTCTTTACCTAACTCACTAGGTTGAAAACCATGAATCACCTTGCCTCACTGACATGGCCCACCAGTGGGTGAGCGGTAAAGTTGCTGAACACTGGTAGTTCGGTCCGAGGTTTGAATCCTGCAAATGGGCTGGCTGCATGGGCGTTTTCATGGTTTTCTCCATGTGTAACTTGTATATGAGCCAGTTTTTCTTAGAAAGTCCTCCACGAAGGCATCTCTTCCCCTTAGGCAAAAGCCGTAGTGTGCTTTGCCATAATTAAATAAACCAAACCAAACCTCACTGAAATGTGAGAAGCTGTTCCTGTATCTAAAAATTGGTATAACCTGTCTGAAACTATAAGTTGTTTGAGGGTCTCGAAGGCAGTTACCTCCTTTAAATTTAAACAATAATCCCAAATAGTTACTAAGCGTAAAGCAAACTGCACTTACATGTATTTTCCATACATGTTTATCGCTTATCCAAGTTCCGAATAAATTTCCTCATATACTTAAGGGTTGGCACTAGGCATTTTGCAGCCTGGTGCTGTCTCTGCATGTCCTAAATTCTAAATATTTTGCCCTGCCTAAATTTTGCATCCCATTGCCTTCCCTAAATTCTGAAGATTTTGCGGTCCCTTAATTTGGTTACTCGGCAATTCTCTATATTTTAAAAATTTTGCCTACCTAAATTCTGCTGCCTGATGCAGTCTCACCAGCTGTAGCACCGGTCCTGGTTTATCTGAATAATAAACCAGTTATTGTGTATTCAAACAGCACAAAATGTAATATTTTGACCTATCAGTATCATTTATAAAAGTAAGTATCATTATTTTTTGCATATGGAAAGAAATTTCTGTTAAATTTATCCTCAACACTTCACCACACAATTAGCTGAAGTCTGTAATCATTGCCAAGCCTATGTCACCATAAAAGGTTACTATGCTGTCTGGTATTTAATTATTAATATTTAAAAAAATTGTTTAGACATCACTACGTATATCATTTTTCAAGCTACTCTAATAGCAAAAAATAGTAACAAAAAAAATTATTCCCCAGGTTGGCGTCAGGGATGTAAATTATTCAGTAGGTGTAAAATCAATCATTCATCAGACCTGCCATGAAAATATCTTTTGAATTGATAGAACACTAGCTGGTAAATAATATTTTGCCATCAATTCTTTTACCTTGCCGTGTCCATTTTTTAAAAATTTAATGTTGGTATGTGGTGTTTTGCAGAATTTTAATCAAGATGTAGTTATTGTCATCAGAATTAAGTATTCAATATTTCTTTTTTATAGACATTTACAAGACCTCATGATATAGCAGTCCTTCCAAATGGAGATGAAGCATTCGTTTGTGAAATAGGACCAAACCTTATTTGGAAATTTATCAGAGGTAGATAGATTTTAATTTTACATTTAAAGTTTAAGCAAATGGCATCAGTACACCCGATAGCTTTAGTAGTCTTTTGCTAAAAATTAGTAGTATATTGTCCTTAAAGCATTGATATAAATGAAGCAGTAAACTGCAAAATCTCTGTTTAACATTTATTTTATTGAATTAATAACCACAAAAATATTACTTTTATATTTAACTAAATTCATAAATCTGTAAAAAGCAGTTTTTAATTTTGACAAAACTGCAAAAGTTTTAGGTGGTTGTATTATTTTTTACTTACTGCTGGATCCATATTAAAGTAATTAATGTAAGGCCCTTTCAGCATATCAGTAATGAGTCTTATGAATGAAATACGTTCTGTATTATGAAAATTTAAGATTATTTTCCATTTTTGTTTTAAGATTATTTTTTATTTTATGCTTCAAATTGGGTTAATTTATCATCTGTAGGCGTAAAAATGATAGACATTGAACTTGCGTTTGAAGTGTGGTCTTTTTAAATAGTTAAAATTCTATGTTTGTAATTCTTTCAGTTGATTTTTTTAAAAATAATAGACTACAGCAAGTAAAAGAATATAAAGACTCTTATGTAATTCAATGAGGTAGAGGTGTTTCAAGTAGTTAACCATATATTAAACCACAATAATAAATATGATTATTTAATTGCAAGTATTTTTTTATTGTTCTCTTGGAAGTTTGACTAGACCTTAAGCAGCAGTAAATTTACTTCATTTGATCGAAAGAGATAAATGTATTTTATCTGCTGCAAAAGATGCATGTTCTTTTATATAAATGTATTGTTTTATAAAATTCATAATTCAAATTTTACAGACTTTTAACTGTGATAATTCTACAAAAGTTTTATAAATTAATCGTTTTGATATGATAATATTTCATTCAGTCCAGCAAGCACTCATTATCATACAGGGGCATAGTAACTGAAATGCATAAACAAATTTTATTTTTTCCGAAGAACTTTGCATGCAGGATCCATGTTTGAATCTCTGCAATCCATATTCATTCCGTAACATGATCTCTTTATTCTTCATCTGTTGCATGTCAGCACACATTTATAAATGGTATATTTGCTGTTTTAGGAGCATCAAAATCTTTTTAGAAATTATGCTAAGCAAATTTAGGTATTCTCACAACAGGCAACCTCACCGATCTACCATGATCAAAACCAAAGAAAATACTAACATTATCATACTAAACCACACAAAAAGTAGCAGTACATAAATATAAAAATAAATGCAAAGAAATTATATCTACTTACTTTTATTACATTAACAGAACTTATTTTACACTCAAACTTTTTTTTTTTTTTTTTCGGTATATGAAAATTTCAATCAAATTGAAACGTATGACAGAAGACAAAATATATGCAGGACTCCAACTTTGCTATAAATTAGAATATCATTTTCTTGCAATCGATGCCAATTCTGAAAGAACTTCAAAATTCTAAAAGGAGCTTCAATCTTGTATATCTGGCTACCGAGGCATATACATGTGTCTAGTGAAACAACAGTAATTACAAAAACTGATCACCGACTACATGGTAACTGAAAAACTCAACTCTAAATGAGTGTGAGGTAGTATCCTCAAATGACAAAAGCGAATTTGGACCAGTTTACCACAAGAATTGTCAGACTATGAAGCATAATGGTTATATTATATATGTTCTGTATGTGTAAAATAAGTACATATGTAAATAAAATATTTAAAAATGTTCGCATGTGTATTTTCTAAATCGGATTCTAAAAGGTTTGGCAAGATTCCAAGTAGATGCCAAACCTCATTTCTTGATTTCGTTAAAAAAAGCAATTCCTGGTTATTTTGTAAGTTTTTGAGTTATTTTGTACTTGAGACTTTTTTTATGCGGTTTCTATTCACCACATTAAAAGAAATACTTTTTAATTTTGCTGCAAAAACTATTTTTTATAGCTACTCATGAAGTTTCATCCGTTTTTGTTGTTGTTGTTGTTGTTAATGCATTTTCTTTTATGCGATCCTTATGCACCACACAAAAACAAGTTTGAATATATTAAATTATACAACATTACCAAAAGAATGCACTGATGTGGTTTTGAAGAGGATGTTTTATATTTACCATTTAGATCCACATATGTGAAAAACGATTTGTTTCCGCAATGACTGATATGTTTGATATGACCTGGTAGATCACCTTTCATAAGAATACTTAAAATTATATAAAAAAAATGCTTTTGCTTAAAATGTTATATTTGTTTTAGTGTATCATAAGTCAACAAAGAAAGTTCTGAGTATTCCTGATGTTGAACTTCATGCATCTCAAGCTACAGGTAAACCTGAGAAGTTGTATAATGTAATCCCTGTGAACAAAGATCGGGATATGGAAAAGAAGACTCCAATAGATGAAGATTCTAGTGGCTTTGAAACATCACTTATAATTATGTCTCTTTTAGCCATTCCTGTTTTATGTTTGGTTGTTGTAACAATCATAGTACGTCTAAGGAGAAGAGGTAAGTTCAAATTGACATAGCTAATGGAAATTACATTTATTATAAAAACATTTAATATGATATTAAGGTATTATATTTTCTCTTATCTGAGATCATTATTAATCATTTTTTTCCTTTCTTATAATAAAAATAGTTAATAAGTAAGATTTAGAATTCTTTATAAAACCAAATATTTTACAATGATATTCTTTATGAAACCAAATATTTTACAATGATATTCTTTATGAAACCAAATATTTTACAATGATATTCTTTATAAAACCAAATATTTCACAATGATAGTATTTAATTCAAAGAGTAACTAATAAAAAAGCATAATTTTCTAATGCTTGTCATAATTCTGTTTGACTGTTTGTTCTAAGAAATGTTATGCCTAGCCTAAGTCTTTTCTGATGAGTAAAGCAAAAGCCTTTACTCATCAGAAAAGACTACTCAGCCAGGCTGCAATTATTGGTGTTGCCATGTGTAATGCTTTTTCATTCCTTCCATAAATATTCATAGCTCAAGATTTCGTTTCTTTCCCTTCTCATTAGAAAATCAACATATGTGTCTTCCGAAACAATTTTTGTCATGAATATTTTTATGGATTAAAAAATACCACAGTGCTAGTAACCAATATGATATTTTAATCAAATTTTATTTTGTTATTTTAAATTAGTTGTCATTTAAATTCTAACTTAGCTATCTGTCTGTAGGTGTTCTAAAAATGTGTTTTCTGTTGTATTTCTTATTAACTTTTACTCATAATGAAATGTTATTTTCAGGTAAATTACAGCAATCATATTTTGGAAACTTGAAGGGTTGGTGGGGTGGATATCGAACTCCACATCCCCAAGATAAGTTTAACTTGGGAAACCTACTGAACCCACACAAAGGTTTTGATAGAGTTTCTCTAGAAGAAAGTGATGCTGAGGGAGAAGAAGGCAGTGATTCAGATGTTGAGGAATATAGTGCAGTTGCCAAGAAAACTTAACTTCCATGTATCACTTAAAACCTTAAGTACAAGGTCAGAATATAGGAAAGAAGAGATATCCGAACTGAAACAAGATGAGAATATAACATTCCACTGTGATTTAATCAAATATGCATGAATAACTTTTAAATACATACTTAATTTTTATTTCTTATCAATTTAACAAGGAATGCTCTCTGGCTCTCTGATATAGGCTTTTTTTTTTTTTTTTTTTTTTTTTTAGTAAATTAGATCTGATTAAACTTTATTTTTTTGGTAGTGTTTATATTTGTCATCATAAATTAAAATATTAGAAAAATGTGATTTAATTTCTGCTAAATATTTAAGTAAAGGTGATTGTTTAAATTATAATTTTGAAATTTTATATACAATGCTTTTATTCCTTGATCAAATATTTTTTTTTCACATAGGCCACATTCCTGTATTTAGTTTTGTCCTCTATGTTACACAGATAAATTATTTTATAGATTTTATATATCAGTTAAAAATGTTATTTATATTTTAAGAAATTTTAGTTATTAGACTTTTATACTTTTATTAATTTTAAAAGGTGTTGTGTTGTACAGTCTCTTGTAGAAATTACTCATGCACATAGGAAAATCTTTTTCACAATTATTATTATATTTTTTGTCATATTTCATATATTGGGTTTAATTCCGTGTTAGAACATTTCAGTACATTTTCTTCTTTATTTAAATTAAAAATTACTTTGTAATGTTTAGTGTACTGCATTTGATTAAAATGTTATATATCAGTTAAGGTTTAAATATTTTTTAAAGGTTAGAAGTTGACTGATAATTTTTAAATATTCAAATAATTTTTATATCATTTTAATTTTATTAATTTATGTAATAAAGTTATCTATATTTTATATACATGAGTTTCATGAGTAAAAATGTCTTATGCTTCTGAAGCATCATTAAGTTTAAAATTAATGAAAGTGCTTTTTTTCCTAGTGTTTTGATAAAAATTATATATTTTGAGTCTGAATTGGATATTGAATTTAAATTTTTTATATATTTGTAAAGCTCGCATTTCTTTTTCAATGAGCATTTGAGTTATTGTAAATTTACTCACATATATAATTTTAAAAATTTATCCATGAACTTTTTTACAGATTGAATAAAAGTGTTCTTTCCCCTTCTACTGTATTTTTATAATCTGATGTTCATTACATATATATATTACATATATATCTATCAACAAAAAAGATTTTTTATTTAAAAATATTACCATAATTCTTTAGAAATGTATTTTTTAATCAAGATATTTTTATAAAAATTACTAGTTTTTAACTTTTATTATGTAACTGAAGCAAAGTAATATTGGTAATGGATTTTCAAATTTTATGTAATTAAAAAAAATAGGAAAGCTGATTTTAACCTTCTTGATCTCAAATAATTTATTTATTTGAAACTAAACCTAGCACTAAAATCATGATTAACATAATGATTTTTCTTTGAATTAAATACAGAACTTCTAAAGTTTTAGTTGCATAACAATGAATGCCCAATTTTATGATTGTTGTAGTGATGTATATTTTTCTAGGTATGATTAAATAAACCATATCATTAAAAAATCTATTGTCTGTAACCAGCAGAAACTAATGCTTTTCTTACTATTTAAAAAGAATTTAATAGATTTTTAAAATACTCTTTTTTGCTTAATTTAGAAAAGCATTGATGTATGATACTCTACAGAATGCATCCATAAGAGGTACACCTTAATTTGAAGATAAAATTTCCTTAATCAAATTTAGATGTTAATGTGATATATAAGCTTTATTATTTATTATTGCGTTGAATTAATTCACTTTTACAAATACTTTGGATATTTTTTATTTTTATTATGGTAAAATAATCAGTGTAGTTAATTTTACATATGTATGTCTGTAGAACCAATTGAATATTTTAGAAGTGAAAATAAATGTGCTTCTGAAAATGAATGTACAATAGCGCAGCCATTTTTCAGTGCCTTTGATTTTGTAATTACGAATGTATAATGATGAATTTAATTGACTGAATGGAAAGAATCTGAACTGGATTATATAATTATGGTAAAGCGCATTAGAGGTATGTGTCTGTAGGAAAGGATACATTCATGAGAAACGTTTTAGAGCAAAATAGTTTGTTACACGTGGAGGAAAACAACGAAAGCCTCATACGGCCAGTAGGAACAGAACATGGGGAAAGCTACTATTTCGTGATTTTAGCCATTTGGCTATTTTTTGGTCCTAAAAGTATGGTTGCTTATTGTGTTAGAGGCCTGCCTTAAGATGAATACTTTCATGGAGGACATTTTTAAGGGCAATTGTCTCATATTTAATGTTACATATTTGGTTAGATCTTTATTATGATAAAGCAAAGATAATATGCCTCAAAGAATGCCGTCATGGATGACAGTCTAAGGAAGCAGTTAATATTCACATTACACATAGTAGTTCCCATGGATTAAATGCATTCGGCCACTGTTTAGAGATTTTATTCATTCTACATTGGTAGACAGCTAGTTTGGAAGGGGGAAAGAAAAATTTTGTGTGTCAAAAAAAAAAAAAAAAAAAAAAAAAACTTTTAAGAAATCAAATTCAGTCAACTAAAACACAGATCAAAAGATCTGATGGTTAATAAACATTCTTTTCAGTGATGCAGAGCCATAATTATCAAGTAATTGTTACCATGAAGTTTCTAATGTACCCTTATACCATGTATGGTATTGGAAACTCACGTATACATGCAAATTTCCCATACTTTGTAATGCCATGGCCCATATTGCTACAGTTGTCCTGAAAGAAAAGAAGGGGAGGAAAGATATTAAAAAAACACGTTATAATGAAATAAGTATATATAAGTATTGATAGCGAATTAAAAGTTATAAATTGTTATATGTAATAATATAAAATAAAACTTCAAAATAGTCTCGTGACACTCTTGTGGGTTGGGAATAAATTTTTTCCTTCAAGAAATTATCCAGTACGCTTAATTCAGATACTTATACCATATGAAAATCATGAAACTGTTTAATTATTCAATAACTTTTATACTTTTAAGCAAATACTTACATTTATGAAACTTAAATCTTTATTATCAGAGGTATTACAAGAGGAACTTGCTAACTTGAAATTCAGTCTTGATTTGTCTGGCATTGGTTTTATAAAGAGGTCTATGCATTTCAAAAGATGTTCTGATGCAAATCTCTTTTTCAATAATAAGTAATAATAATCAAGTAATAATATCATGCATTTCATCAAGTCACTTTTTAAAATGCATAAGGCTTTTCTAAATGCAAAGGAAATCTAAACTTTTTTTTTTTTTTTAATGTTCTTTGAACTGATATACTTTATGTATACAAAGTACTATAGCTTAACTTTTTTATGTGCATTTTGAGTTACATTGATTATTAATCATAACAAATGTAAAAAAAGAGCTTCATTTTTTCAAAATTTATAAAAAATATAATTAAATTTAGAATTCTCAAGTTTTCTAGTTTTAAGGAAATTTTACAGTTATTTGAAAACTCTAGTGTGTGATGAATCATAAAATACTATATTTTTATTAAAAAGTAATTTAGTCTTTATGCTGACTGTATGTAACAATTTTTTTAACCCTCTGAGCGTTACGGGTTTAGCCCTGAAATTTCAAAGTTCCTCAAAATGTTATGAATAAGTGATATTTTCTTGATATATGTCATTAATAAGTGATATTTTAATTAAAAAATGACTCTTTCATTTTGTACCTTTATTCCTTTTCTTCCAATATACATCCAAACTGAAACCCGATACATTAAAAGCTAGCAGAAATTTTCATGTATAATGAATGTGGAAGGCAACCTTCTGTATGGAATTTTCCGGTCGTAACGCTGAGAGGGTTAATGAAATATGGATCTATGATACTTTACTGTTCCTGTAACCTGTGTTTGAATTACAAAGTTAATTTTCTTTAAATTTATAAAATAAAAGATTATACTGTTGTAAAGAAAAAAAGAGCAGTTTATTTTAACATATCTGTCATTCATACCTGCTCACATAAAATGTGATTATTTGTAAATAATCTTAAGTGTTTTGTGAAAAATAGCTGGTGAAGAGAGCCAGTTTGGGCTATTAAGACAATGTCTAGCTTTAGTAAAAGGAGTATGGCTTGCAAAATGAGACCAACTGCTTTGTTTCATACCAGCAAACTTCAGAATTTAATTATCCTATTTCGAAAATTGTGAGAAATCTGGAAAAAATCAATTACAAAGCTGTAGAGCATCAACGATTAAGTGTGAAAAGATATATTGTGCATGCAGATACATTAAAAGTTATCTGTGCAGCATTAAATATATGAAACTGGTTTGTTTGTAATGTATGAAACAGTTTTGCCACAATGTTTAAATAATGAACACATAGACAATGAGTACAAAACATGATGCAAGGGATAAACAATGTGCATTATGTCAATGCTGCTTGATGACATCTACGAATAAAACAAAACATGCAGATAGACTCGGGCTATTTACAAGTTTATTTCATCCATTTTTGAAGGTGTTAAATTTATCTACAATACTCACTTGAATTCAAGAAAGTTTCTCAGCATGCCCATTCATCAGCATGGAAAGCATTCTGCTACTGCGTTCATCAGTGGATGAAGTGAACTAATAAATAATTTCACTTCAGTTTCTTATACTCCTAGGAAAAGAAATCCATAGAATAAGATCTGGTGATTGCAAAGGCCATTCAATTATGCCATCATAGCCATTTGATCTTTTTTCCAGACAGATCTGCTAAAAATCATTGCATGACCTCTGGCTGGTATGTAGAGACTCCATCATGTTGGAAAAGCAAGGAATATAACATTATTACTGGAATGTAGCCTAAAACCTTGGTTGAGATTTTCTGTATTGGCTTAAGATATCTGTATCCAGTAAATGAGTTACTAGACCCAGTAAAGTTGCTCTTTCAAGGACCAAATCAAGCAGTAAAGAAACAGTGCTTTGATGTTTAACATCTCAAGCCTAGAAAAAATTATTGAAGTTCCAATAATAATTGTTATTCGAGTTAAAGAATGTGTAATTTTGCAATACTGCCTTATCTATCTAATGATGTTTTAGGAAAATTCTGTTATTCTTGATTTTATTTACAGCCTAATTGGACCAGTGAAATCATCGCATATTGTTTCCTGGCAACAACTCTTGCCGTAATGCGATATGGTAAGGATAGGCACCATTCTAGTGCAGCATTCATTATACATGCCTTTGTGATAAGCCAAGTGTCATCTTGATATCTCTCATGCGTTTTGCATATATGTTAGTATATATGCTAAAATGTCCCTGCACTGCATTTCATTAGCATTGACCATACAGAAGTGCCACTTCACAATATTTGCTCAGGTGTGTGTGGGGGGGGGGATTTTCCATTTCTACGTACAGTATGTAGACCTATTAATTTACTGATATGCATTTGGTTTCCTTGTTTTTATTTCCTACTTTGAAGTGTGAATTCACATTTGTATACAGTTATGTTTTTTATTTGAAACACAATGTTCATATGCTTGAAAAAAAAATATTTCTTGTTTTAATTTTCAGAAAAAGTCAATATTCTATGTAAGAAAAATATTGTGCATTGGTTTCAGATACTTTAGGTTTCAGATTTAATAAATATTGCAGTATTTATTGTTTGTCATGTTCCCATGTACTGTATGTTTTATTATATTAAACTGCTTGTGCTATTCAACTTTGTAATTGACGTTTTCTTTGGTATCTGTCATAGATTCTTATACAGATTACTTAGCAGGAGGCATTCCAGTTAGTCTCCTATTGTAGGGCATGATCCTTTTATTATAGCTAGATTGTTACATTCATAACCGTAGCTGATTTTGGTCACCAGTTGTTTAGAAATAAACATAATTTCATATTGACCTGTATAATTTTTTAAGTTGTTTTATTTGGAGGCAGCTCTTCTATGTATACAAATGCATTATAATTTCAAAATTTTGTCATCCCTTTGAATGTTCCTGAATAAAAAATTCTTTTTTTATAGTTTATTGTAAATTATTCTTTTAATATAAAATTGCATTTCTAAAATTTCTGTGTTTATTTTACTTCATCATTACTACGATCATACAACATTATATATATATTTAGTAACTTAACTATCATCCATTATTTAGGTTCAGATATTTTTTATTTTAGAGTATAATCCCAGATAAATTTTACCCAGAATTGGTTTTTTTATTTATAAAAAATTGGTTATCAGTTCTAAATCATAATTTTGTTTTATATTAAAAGTTTTGACATTTAATTTAATCTTTAAAAAAAATTCTTCATAAAATACATTGCAGTTCTACTAAAAACAAATGTATGATTGCTGTATTTACTAAAAAAAAAGACCCCCCCTTTTTTGTTGTTTTGCTAGATTTTATGTTCTAAAATTTGGGTAATCAGGTATTTTAATAAAATTGTGGAATAAGAGGAAAGAATTTAATTAGCATACTATATAGAATAATTATAATGCTTAAGCATACTGTATAGAATAATTATAATGCTAAATACTAAATAAACACATTGTTGCTGTGTATATAATTTGCATATAATTACCAATTCTAGTTGAGTGATCTCAGTTTAGACCTGTATCCATTATTAATTCTGGAATTATACCTAAAAACAAAACAACTATCATTGATTTTTCTTTTTATACTTCTGTTCTGATTTGAACTGACATTACATTATTATTATTTTCATACATATCTGCTTTGTATACATTATTGTTTTGCATATTAGCTATTATATATATGAATATGTATACATGCATAGATAGATAGGCAGATATTGTAAAATAAAAATAAAACATTTAAATCCATTACATATTCAACCTGGATCAAACCATTAAAAATAAACGTACAATTGTTTGCGTGCACAACAAAGATGATGAGGGGGGGCAGAGATCCACGGTGAGCAAATGTATGAGAAAGTGCAAAAACAGTGTAAACCAAAAAATTAATTATAGAAAAAAGAAGTAGAGCATTTACATCTTTTGCCACATCATTGTTAGGGGGTTGATGTAACGAAAAGTAAATGGATCAGCTTGTTTCTGAAATAACAATGATACAAGTTTACAAATTAGAACTTAAAACTTATTTACCACAAAACAATCTGTGTTCTTACTCGTTCAAACTCTACATTAGGCTGGATTAGGAAGAGCAAAACTGTCCATTTTTTTTTCCTAAAGAATCAAATAATTGTGAAAACCATTCATTTAATTATAAAATAAAAAGTTAAAAAAGTATGTCAGGCAGCCTGGATAAAAAAATTAATCTAATACATATGCAAACATTACATGAAATATTAAACACAAAATAGAATAATTTTCAGAACTGTAAAAAAATTCGTCAAATTTAAGAAGCAGCTATTTACTTGAACATAATTAATAATATTCTAAATAATATAAATTTAATTCGAAAAACAAATAAGACAGCAAAAAAATAAATAAATCCATGCATTCTGAAGCACTGATTGTCAAGTAGACTGAGTTAACCCGCCAGTGTTAGTACATTTGTTCATTGAAAATATTGATGTTTCTCCCCCACCCAACACACACCATACGTACTCATTTGCA